GAAAGATCGGGGCCACTCCAATGGAGGATCAAAGTTTGGGGCTCCAGCTACCCCTCATCCAGGAGGGCGGGGTGGGGGTCCTCAGGGGCTCCGGGGGACGGGAAGGCGAGCAGCCGCCTCTCCATCTGGCTGCAGGGAGCTGGGACAGAGGCCAAGAGGGGCCCATCTGTCGCCTCCAGGTCCTGCCAGCTCCTTTGAGCAGGCTGGGCTGAGGAGGAGGGTGGGGGACAGCTGTCTGGCCCGGGTCTTGGACCAAGATGGGAATGAGGGCTGCCGGAGGACGGGAAGCTGGGATGTTTGGTTTTCTTGTTCGTTTTTTTTTTTTTTAAGGTTTTTGCTTTTTTCCACTTCTTAAATAAACATGAATATATATATAATTTTTTTCTTTTATAAAACTTTCCGGGGCGGTGGGCGGCCTGGCCTCCCCGCCTCACTCGTCGTCAAAGTTCTGACTCAGGAGGAAGTTGGCCGCCAAGTTCTCGTTTTTCTCACACGCGAAGTAGGCTTGGATCACCAGGCTCTCTGGGAAGCCCAGGGCCTTCAGCTGCGGGGAGAGGGGCAGCTGTGAGCAGAGGTGGGGCGCGGCCCACAGAGGGGGCGCGCCCAGCCGGGCCTCTTCCCCTCTCTATAGCTTCCTTCTCCTGCGGCGTCACCTGGATGTAGTTCATCTGGGGGGCCTCCTCGCCTATGGCGCCCACCTCCCCCTCCACGTCCACGTCGGAGATGTCCGCCAGCTCCCCGGGGGGCTCGTTCAGCATCTGGATGAACTGCTCCTGGTGCCGGCTGATTTGCTGGGGGGCAAGCGGGAAGGGGTGGTGAGCCCAGTGAGCTGCACCCCGGGGCCTCAGCTCCACCCTCACTCTCCCACTCCACCAGTGTTTCAGAGTGGCCCTTTCTGACCACAGCAGTCAGCACGCGGTGGCCACGGCCCTGTCCTGCCAGAGCTGATGTGACAGGCGGGGAGCACTGCTGACGCCAGGGGAGGAAAGAGCCTGTGGGTGAGGAGTTTCCTCTGGGTACCCAAATGTCAAGTGCAGAGGCCTCGGGCAGGTGCGCTTGGCGAATGTGAGCACACCACACACCAGCCCACGTGCGCACGGTGTGCCCCGGAGTCCCATCGCGGGCTGCTTTCCCTGACCGGCACAAGTGCCCATATATATATATGGGGTTTTTTATTACAAAGGAGCCAGCAGGTAGCACAGTGGTTAAGGGTACTGGACTCCCAACGGCCAACCATGGTTCACATCCCAGACCTGGAGGCTTGCTTTCTCACTTTCCCTTTCTCTGTGTCTAGTCATATTAAATAGTAACAACAAATGGAACTAAATATTTTTAAAGGATTATTTTATGTAATTTTTATTTATTCATTCACTCATTTTTAATTTTACCAGAGAGAGAGAGTGAGAAAGCAGGCCACCAGATCTGGGACTTGAACCGTGATCAGCCATGTGGGAGAGTCCAGCGCCTTAATCACCACAACACCCGCTGGGCCCCAGGACTAAATATAAAAAGGGAGGGGCGGCCGGATCTCACATGATCCACAGGGCAGTTTTGAGTCCCAGACCAGCAGTCTGATAAACATGCCCGGTACATGGGCACACATGCGCAAAATCCTGAAAGGGAGTTGAAGAGGGTATTGCAGCGCGACCATTCCCCAAAGGGGGTACTTTCGCTTTCTCTCTCCTTTGAGTGCACGTCCCCTCTGGCGAACTAAAACAAAAGAAAAACTATAGATACCAAGACGAGTGCCAAGAACAGAGCACATGAGTACGTGAAGGAGAAAGGCAAGTCCTGAAGCCCAGCCAGATCCCACACACCCCATTACAGGTTCAAGTCCTGGCCCTGGTGGCTTGAAAAATGCTGAGCATGTGCAGATGTGCCCCAAGTCCTAACAGGCTGGAGGAACAGAGAAAGGACTGCGGTGTGCCCACGCCCGACGGGAGGGTACCTTCTCTCTGGTGAGTGCAGGTGCCTCTAGCAATAGTTTGGGAAAGAAGGGAAGGAGGGCCGGCAGGTGGCACGGCGGTTAAGGCGCTGGAATCCCACACGGCTAATCACAGTTCGAGTATGGGACCTGGTGGCTTGCTTTCTCACTTTCCTTCTTTCTCTCTCTGGTGAGCACAGGTGCCCTATACCAAAATAATAATAATAAACTAAGCACTGCAAAGGCAGCAGCGGTACGGCGGTTAAGGCAGCTGCTCTCACACGGCCAAGTGCAGTCCTGGTCCCTAACCCAGCGGCATGAGCACCATGCTGAGTGCCCAAATCCCAGACGGAGGGAACACAGCGGAGGGACTATGGGACCAACAGTTAGCACAATGGCTATGTCTCTGGACTCCCATGTAGTGGACCGCGGTCCGAATCCCGGACCCGGTGGCTCAAACTCACGCCGGGTACATGTGCGTGCGTGCCCAAGATCCCAAGAGGAGGATGGAGGAGAAGCGATTGCAGCGTGCCCATCCCCCCTAAGGGGGTGATTTCTCGATGTCTCTGTCTTTATCTGTCTGGCAAGCGCACGTGCCCTATAACAAAAACCTCTCCGCCCCCCAAAAAATAAAATAGTAACAAAAAAAATGTGAGACCAGTGACCAACAGGTAGTGTGGTGGTTAAGGCACTGGAAACTCCCGCATGGCCAACCATGGTTCGAGTCCTAGACCTGGTGGCTTGCTTTTTCATTTTCTCTCTCTCTGGTCAAATTAAAATGAATGAATGAATGAATGAATAATTACATAATTCTTTTTGAAAAAAGAAAGAAAAAACTAAAGGGGAAAAACAAGAAACAAGGAGGGGGAGAGTAGGAGGCAGGAGGTGAGATCGGAGGGGAAGGCCGAGTCAGACCTATGCTCAGTGAACAGGGAACCTTAGCTGGAGAGGTGGGTACCCCTCCCTGCCTTTTTTTTTTTTTTTTTTTTTTAATAGATTTTTGCTACAGGGCGTGCATGCTCACCAGAGACAGAAAGCCCCTCCTCTCAGGATTTTGGGCACACATGGACACATGTCTGGCCTGAATTTTCAGCTAGCAGGTTCAGGACTCGAACCACAGTCAACTACGTGGGAGACCAACCACGTAACCATTACTCCATCAGCTGGTCCCACACCCTCCCTACTGTAGACACCTGCCAGTTTCATGTTAAGGACAAAACACTTCTTCAGTCATCTGGTTCTTGGAGGACAGTACAGAAGCAGAGGCCAGGGAGGAGGTGCCCAGAGAGCAGGGTAGAGGGTGGGTGGCTCGTGGAGGAAGCAGCAGCAGACAGGACAGTGAGGGGTCCCTGCAGGCGCAGAGGGACTGGGTCTATTCTGAAGCTTTTCTCCACAGCCAGAGGGAGGGACAGGGAAAGGGAGAAAGCACTCCTCCACAGGGGAGGTCCTGCCTGATCCCTCCTCCACCTCTCCATCCTAGGACTTTGCTCCCAGCATGGTCTGAGGCCACTGGGACCGAAACTCAAACCACACAGTTGGTTGCGTGGAGTCCGCTCCCCCAACCACAGGGCCAACCCTAGAATACGCTGTCACAAAAGTTCCGAGTCAGCGTGGCCTGCAGAGGGCAGAGGAGCGTGGGTGGGTGCCCGCTGGTGCACTCTGCACTGCCCTGCAGCAGGTGGTGGCGGGCCTGAGCGGGGCCCCACAGGAACCTGCTCCACTCCTGAGGCCCTCAGGGCCCTGCTGTGCCAGGGGCCACCACTGCCACCCCTGCCTGCCTGTGAGCCTGCCAGGGCTGGTGGGAGCCTGGCTGAGTGATCCCTGAGCATCCCAGGTGACTCCAGTTTAGGAGGCACCAGCCGTGTGTGACACGGAGGCAGAGCCAGAGTTCTGGACCCAGGGCTGGACGCAAACCTGCTCCACCAGCCACCTGCCTGAGCACGACGGGGCGCTCCAGCCCGCGTCACTAGCTGCATGCGGGGTGCCGACGGCACCCACCCCTCGTGGGACGCTGGCACGTTACCCACACCTGAGAGAGCAAGAGTGGGGCGGCAGCCACTCAACCTTCCTTTCCTATAGAAAGCGATTACTCCAGCCTGTGGGCCGTGTGCCCTCCCAGATGGGGACATGCACCTGCCCCAGCCCCTGCCCTGGCAGGGCCGAACCTGCAGAAGCTGAGGGTTCTCCTGGCCCAGCTGCTGGAGCAGGGCAGGCAGCAGCGCCGGGTTCTGCTGGATCACCTGCCGCATGTTCTGGAATTGCGGCTGGTCCCGCAGGAACTCCAGGGGGTTGTCTCCTGTGGACGACAAGAGGGGTGAGGTCAGACCGGGGGAGCCCAGAGCTCTACGTGCATGTACACATGCGTGTGCGCAGAGGGGAGGGGCAGTCAGGCACCCGAGACGGGTCCCACGTGCACACTCCCGGCCCACTCACCTGCTTCCGTGGCCGGCTGCTCGGACACCTGGCTCTCCTGTACAGAACCATGCTCTGGCTCAGGGCTCCCGGGGATTCCCTGTCAGGGGTTCTGCTTAGTTCCAACGCACAGACCTCCCACTGCCTCCCTCCTGCACGCCCGGCCCCAGGAGCCAGGTGAGGCCTCAGCCCTGCCCTCACCGCTCCCACATCCAGCCTCCCGCAGGGGCACCGTGTGTGGCTGGAACCACTTCCCAAAGGCAGCGGCAGGCAGGTTTGCCCCCCCCTCCCGTCTGGGCAGTGAGGCCTGTGCACCCCGTCGAGGCCTCCCACCTCACCGTGAGCAGGTACTCCACGGCCCGGTGGGGGTTGTTGTAGCTGGCTCTCAGGGCGGCCACCACCCGCTCCCGCTCGTAGCCCATGGACATGATCTCGGTCAGCATCGTCTCGTACTCAGAGCCGGTCACTGTGGAGGGCGCGGAGACCTGGGTCACCAGGGCGACAGCGGGGCAGTCCCGGGCCCTCCCTCACCCAGACACGGCCCAGCTGATGGCTGGGCGCCCAGTCGCCTCTGCCCCGGGACCACCCACCCACCTAGCGTGGAGGCCGCGTCTTCCTCTCGCCCGCTGCTACCTGAAGAGGGAACAGAGCTGCAAATTCAAGAGAGAGAAATCGGACCCTGGCTTCTGGCGGCCTGCCCTCCCCCAGGTGTGTGGGACCACACGGGTGGGCGCTGCAGTGTGCTGGGGCTGCTGCCCCCGCCTTACCCGGACACGGACTCCGGGGACGTCGTCGGGGCTGACTCCTCCGAGGGGCTCTTGTCCTCTCTGGCAGCAGGTGGGGGGTGGGACATGCCTGAGGCGGGGGCCGGCGGGAAGGATGCGGAGGACTCCGGAGCAGCAGTGGGTGAGGCCTCGGGGGGTGCTGCGGCACCCTGGCCACTGTGACAGCCACAGGAAGGGAGCAGGCGTCAGCACCCCTATCGCGCCCGACGTCCTGCGCGCAGCGGCCCCGCCCTGCTCCTGCCTAATCTCTCCTGGGCAGGCAGGCTCTCTGCCAGCCCCGGGGAACCCACCCCCACCCCCACCTTGGTCACCATGACGACCACGAAGTTCTTCTCGTCGATGCGGTAGTCCCTGATGGGCACGTCGTCGCTCAGGATCTTGCCGGCATAAATGAGCTTCTGTCCGGCCACGGGGAAAGCGTCCCGCCCCTTCTCCGCCTCTATCTTTTCCTTTAGCACCTTCACCTGGAGGGGGGGCACGGCCAGTCACTACGCACCCCAGGGGCGCTCTCCCATCCTGCCTTCGGGGAGCAGCCGCAAGCCCTGACGGCAGAGATGCAGGTGTGACTCCATGTAACCACGCCACCGTTCAGCGGGGTATTTACGACACCCACCGCGGACTCGGTGCTGGGTTTTGGCTTTGTTTCTGTGGGTTTTTGCTACAGGGCACGTGTGCTTGCCAGAGAGGGACAGATAAAGACAGTGAGAGGAAAAGGAATAAATCATCCCGGGTGAGGGATAGCCCTGTCGCAATCCCTTCCCTTCTCCTCCTGGATTCTGGGCACCCACACACGCGCACCTGGTGTGATTTTTAAGCCGCGGCCGGCCATGTGAGCACCTAGTGCCCTAACCACCTGCGACACCTACCGAGCCGCCAGGCGCTGCTGGTTTTTTGTGTGTGTTTTTTTCACTTTATTATTATTATTTTTAACTTGCTAAAAGGCACAAGCACTCACCAGAGAGAGAAACAGGGAGAGAAGGAAAGCGAGAAAGCAAGTCGCCAGGTCCAACACTTGAATCACAAGCGGCCATGTGGGAGTCCAGCGTAGGCACGGAGGCCGCGCCAGGGAAGAAAACGCAACCCAAGTCCCTGCTTTAAAGGGAGGGTGTTCATGTGCAGGATGACATGTACACGAACAACGAATACGTATTTCAGGCGGCATAAGGAACGACTAAACACAAAAGGTTAAAAAGGAGAGAGGTGGGCCTCCTATTCCAAGCTAGTGACCCTGAACGATACTGGCCTGGGACATGCCGGGGGCGGGGGCCGGCGGGAAGGATGCGGAGGACTCCGGAGCAGCAGTGGGTGAGGCCTCGGGGGGTGCTGCGGCACCCTGGCCAGCTTTGGCCTGTGACAGCCACAGGAAGGGAGCAGGCGTCAGCACCCCTATCGCGCCCGACGTCCTGCGCGCAGCGGCCCCGCCCTGCTCCTGCCTAATCTCTCCTGGGCAGGCAGGCTCTCTGCCAGCCCCGGGGAACCCACCCCCACCCCCACCTTGGTCACCATGACGACCACGAAGTTCTTCTCGTCGATGCGGTAGTCCCTGATGGGCACGTCGTCGCTCAGGATCTTGCCGGCATAAATGAGCTTCTGTCCGGCCACGGGGAAAGCGTCCCGCCCCTTCTCCGCCTCTATCTTTTCCTTTAGCACCTTCACCTGGAGGGGGGGCACGGCCAGTCACTACGCACCCCAGGGGCGCTCTCCCATCCTGCCTTCGGGGAGCAGCCGCAAGCCCTGACGGCAGAGATGCAGGTGTGACTCCATGTAACCACGCCACCGTTCAGCGGGGTATTTACGACACCCACCGCGGACTCGGTGCTGGGTTTTGGCTTTGTTTCTGTGGGTTTTTGCTACAGGGCACGTGTGCTTGCCAGAGAGGGACAGATAAAGACAGTGAGAGGAAAAGGAATAAATCATCCCGGGTGAGGGATAGCCCTGTCGCAATCCCTTCCCTTCTCCTCCTGGATTCTGGGCACCCACACACGCGCACCTGGTGTGATTTTTAAGCCGCGGCCGGCCATGTGAGCACCTAGTGCCCTAACCACCTGCGACACCTACCGAGCCGCCAGGCGCTGCTGGTTTTTTGTGTGTGTTTTTTTCACTTTATTATTATTATTTTTAACTTGCTAAAAGGCACAAGCACTCACCAGAGAGAGAAACAGGGAGAGAAGGAAAGCGAGAAAGCAAGTCGCCAGGTCCAACACTTGAATCACAAGCGGCCATGTGGGAGTCCAGCGTAGGCACGGAGGCCGCGCCAGGGAAGAAAACGCAACCCAAGTCCCTGCTTTAAAGGGAGGGTGTTCATGTGCAGGATGACATGTACACGAACAACGAATACGTATTTCAGGCGGCATAAGGAACGACTAAACACAAAAGGTTAAAAAGGAGAGAGGTGGGCCTCCTATTCCAAGCTAGTGACCCTGAACGATACTGGCCGTTATTTTTATAAAGGAATTATCTTATTTAACTTTATTTACTTGTTTATTTAAATTTGACTACAGAGGGACAGCAAAAGAGCGAAAGTGAGAGTGAGAGTGAGAGAGAGACAGACAGACAACAGAGCCAGCCACCAGGTCCAGGACTCAAACCGCAGTGGGCCAATGTGGGAGTCCAGCGCCCTTAACCACTACGCCACCTGCCAGCCTTTTTGTTTGTATTTGTTTTAGAGAGAGATTTCTTGCTATAGGGCATGTGTGCTCTACAGGAGACAGAAAGCAAGACATCACCCCCCCAAGTGGATGGCCATGCCACAATCACTTCTCCATTGTCCTCTCGAGATTTTGGGCACACACACCCATATGAGTTTTTGTTTTTTTTTTTTAAGAGGTTTTTGCTATAGGGTGCATGAGCCCGCCAGACAGAGACAGAGAAACATAAAGCGAGAAATCGCACACCCCCACCCTGGGGGGCTGGCCACGCAACAATCCCTTCTCCTCCGTTCTCCTCTCGGGATCTTGGGCACGCACGCACATGCAACCGGAGTGAGTTTTAAGCCACCAGGTCCGGGACACGAACCTCGGTCAACTACGTGGGAGTCCAACGACATAGCCATCCATGACACTAACTGCTGATCCCATATGAGTTTAAGCCACCAGGTCTAGGACTTGAACTGCGATCAACTACAGGGGAGTCCAGCTACGTTACTATTACGCCATCTGTAGGTTCCCCGGCCCTTTTTTTTTTTCCTTTTAACTTTTTGCCGTCGGGAGTGTGGATTCACCAGAGACAGAGAGACATAGAAAAAGTGAGACGTCGCCCCTGAGGTCGGACGGCCACGCTGCAATGCCTTCTTCTCCAGGCTCCTCCCAGGATCTCGGGCACACATGCCTGGCGTGTTTTTCAAGCCAGTCAGCAGTCCAGGACTCTGCGTAACTGGCCATGTGGAGTCCAGCTGCCTTAATCACTATGCCAGTTGGCTGGCCCCAGTGGACGATATTTACCAGAACATTCTGAGTAAACGGCACTATTGTCCAGTGTACATGATCAGACTTTTGAAGCCTCATAACAACCGTACAGATGTCAGGAGCATCGCCTCCTATTTGAGGAAACTGAGGCACAAATAGGTTAAATAACTTGACTAACCATTGAACTGATCAGAAATCTGAGTCTGGGGTCAGCAGGTGTGGTAGTTAAGACACTGAATTCCCACATGGCCACGGAGGTTTGAATCCAGGACCCGACTGCTTGAAAATCATAATGAATAAAGACATGAATGCTTTTGTTTTAAAGAATTATTTAAATTTATTTATCCGTGTATTTATTTCTTTTAATTTGACCAGAGAGAGATACAGTGAGAGAAAGAAAGAGAAAGAAAGCAAGCTGCCAGGTCCAGGACTCGAACCACAGTCAACCATAGGAGAGCCCAACGCTTCCAACCACCATGCCACCTGCCGGCCCCCAGATTGTGATCTTAAAAATTTTTTTTTTTTTTAAATCTGAGTCTGTTTTCTTTTCTATAACAAGTGGAGTGTGATGTCTCCTTCAGGGGATAGTCGTGTGGAGCGTATGTTTGAATCAGCTCTAACTCTGCTCTTAGAAAGACAGCTTGGGGACCAGCAGATGGCGAAATGGTTACTTCGCTGGACTCCTGGACTCCCACAGCTGACCGTGGTTCCAGTCCAGGATCCGGTGACTTAAAACACACCCGGCACGTGTGCATGCATGCGTGCCCAAAATCCCTAGAGGAGAACAGAGGGGAAGGGGCTGCGGTGTGCCCAAACCCCCTCGGGGGTGATGTCTCGCTGTCTGTCTCTCCAGCGATCGCACTGGCCCCAACGGCAAGGGGGAAAAAAAAAAATACAGCTGAACGTTTTGACGGCGGGGCCTTCACACCAGGCAGAACCGAGTTTAAATCCCAGCTCTGCCATCACTAGCAGGACCCTGTGGCAATCTCCCTTAACGCCCCCACCCCACCCCCGGTTTTCACATCTGTACCACGGGGACAGTCGGCTTCCAAAAGACAAGGCTGTTTCTGCAAGTTTAGCAAGAAAACGGCACGGACACGCTCAGTGCCCATAAAGAACGACCAGCGAACTCGGACGCCCCAAACTAGGAAGACGGACACTATGTATTAATCAGGACCACCGTCGTCGTCGTCACCGCGCGGCACCTCCCGGCCTTTACGCTCAGGTTCACCCCATAACCTCCCAAACCAAACGTGGGCAAAGCTGGGACTGTCGAGTCCCGGTCCCGGAGAGCGCGGCGCGGCCGGGAATCCGAGCCTAGGGCTCCCGCGCCCCGCGAGGGCGCTGACATCCGAGCCGGGCCCTGGCGAGAGCCCGGGGGTGGGGCCTCGCCCGCAGATCGGCCCTGGAGCGCC